ATCACTTTGCCTATTTCCAAGAGTGAGGAAGAAGTTTTATTGGGATACCCAAGTAGTATGACACTGTCACCCTCCATGTTCTCCTGGCCTGTGATCAAGGGAACAGGAAGTCAGTGGACAAGTTGAGCATTAGCCCTTATTAGCTTATGCCAAGATGCCCAGAAGCAAAAACGCTTATTGTGACTTTTTAAATTGTCAATGCAAAATAATGCATTTCATTTTTCTATCTAAGAGTACAGATTTTTACTCTGAACTTGTGCATTGGTAGAACTAGCCACACTCTAATAGAAATGCACTTTAATCTGAGTTACACTGGTCTGCCCTCACCTGCTAGCAGTTGTCAGGTAGGAAGAGCCATTGGACTTTAAAGAACATCTTTCAATTGACTGTGCTTGTCAGTCCCCATTGTACACATGTCAGTGACTTGCCAAAGTGTGAACTTCAGAGAATCTGACCGAGAGCAAAACTGACACCCATATCAACACTCTTCATTAATTTGGGTCTGAAGAATTGATAAATATCATTTAGCGGGAATACATGAAAGAGGAAGTTATTCGCTTCCTCTTAGTCAGGAAACAGAGTGAGAGATGAAGGGAAGGGATTGGGGACCAGCTATTACCAATTTCCTCCAACTAGGTTTTATCATCTAAAGTCTCCACCACTGGAAAATATCTTCACCAACTGGAGACCATACATATACTATCACGGGCCATGCTGTGGCTGTGATAGCAACAAACTATAATAGCAGTATCAAGTGCCATAAGCATATTGTCCACGTGTCAAATAGTGGACTCTCTGTTTTTTAACAGTTTAGATCTATTCTACAACTGTTGTGGTGGCAGTTTTAAGATGAAAAAACGTTGGCACCACTTGCCTCGATGTATCTTGGATACCTGATTTTCAAAACAAGGAATATGAACTTTTAAAACCCTCTACCAAGCAAGACCAGTTCCCAAATGAAAATATAGAGGATTTCATGGAGCCAGCTAAAGTTCTTGTCCTCTCTTCAGCACTAGAGGTGGGAGGGATCCTCTCAAAGATAAGAAGAATTAAGCTTCTAATATATAGATGCTATCATGGGTTTCTTAGATGTTTCAGGTTCATCCACTTTACAACTCTACTATTTTTTACTACTTCATGTAAAGACAGGTAGAAAAATTGTGAATAGTTATAAAGTCTGAATTCCTTATCATGTGAGCTCTAAACATGTATGGACATAAGCATGCAACTAGGCTTCAACATTTGGCCGTACACAAGCACTGTGGTGTATGGAGCACTCTGTTCCCTTAAATGAAACTTAAATCATTTCTACACTATAATCCTTAGATTGAGTGAATAAAATGAGTAAATGGTCTCTGAATGTGATCATTTTCTATATAAACACTATTACTAAAATGATATCACCAGCAATTATATATAAAAAAGTTGGCTGTTATTTCAAAAATTATTCATGGACTTTATTTTATTCCTTGCTGAATTTCTTATGACTGGAACAATGCCAGCCTCATACTAAGCATTCAAAAGTGGTAACTCTCATGAAGAGATAAGTGAGTGACTCTGACATAGGTTATCCTGGTCAGTACATTCCAGTAGTCACACAGGGCCACTTCATATGGGAACTTCGTTGCCTGGGCAAGTGTTTTGTCTACTCTCCCACACAGGACTTACATTTCTTAGAACTCCAGGACAGGACACTGTGTTTACAATGTGAAACACTCCAGCTCCTCTATAGAGGAAAAAGTACATCAGAAAATGTCAACCAAATTCAATCACATGCCTAAACAACAATTTCTTTTGAAATTATAATTACATTATTTCCCATTTTCCCTTTCTTCTTTCCATGTAGTCTCTCTCTCTCTCTCTCTCTCTCTCTCTCTCTCTCTCTCTCTCTCTCTCTCTCTCTCTCTCTCTCTCTCTCTCTCTCTCTCTCTCTGTGTGTGTGTGTGTGTGTGTGTCTGTCTGTCTGTTTGTCTGTCTCCCCCTCTTTCTCCCTTCACCTCCCCCTTGCTCTCTCCCTCTCTTCATAGAATATTTAGTCAGGGCTACTGAAGTCATGGATCTTGGAGGAGACCCCACAACCACCACTTTACTACACCAGTATAATTCCTAACTACATTCTAAATATTTATCCTTATGCCCACAGATAAGTGTAGTTCTCACCCCTCATCAAAGAAACTTCTCTTCGCAACAGATGGAGACCATTACAGAAAACCACAACCAATCAAAATGCAGAGAACAAGAGATCATATGGTGCCCAGCCTCAACTGATACATCTACAAAACCATCACATTTAAAAGATCATGTCAAGTCAATTTACCTTACATATCTCTCTTCATTCCATGGAGGGGGTTAATATCCATTCCATACTTTATTTACTAGACACACAGGACCAAAACTACTGTCTTAAATCCATTTTCCTCCCACCCAACTTTACCATAAGCAAATCCCTTTCCTTTGGCTAAAACATCTGTGTCTCCTTGGTATATCCTCAGAGATAAAAATGGCAGTTTATATTCTTGGCATGCAGATAGATTAAGTATTTGCATCCAGTATACTGTAATGCATCTAGCACTTCCAAACAAGGACATTCACTCTTGTTAGTTTATGGTCATTGCTGCCTCTAGGGCTGAGTACCCTTAGTGCATTTTCCTCACACTGCTTCTTCATGTTTTCTGACTGCTTGGACTCCGTATATCGAATATAAACTATGATCTAACTATTGTGTTAAATCCTGAGAGGTGGATTTTGACATTAAGAAGTTTATAGATATTTAAAAAGAGAAAATGCCACGGCGGGGCGTTGGTGGCGCACGCCTTAATCCCAGCACTCGGGAGGCAGAGGCAGGCGGATCTCTGTGAGTTCGAGGCCAGCCTGGTCTACAGAGTGAGTTCCAGGACAGCCTCCAAAGCCACAGAGAAACCCTGTCTCGGAAAACCAAAAAAAAAAAAAGAGAAAATTCCACAAAACAGCACTTTTGTTGTGCAAGCTTTGGGTCTAATGGTACATCCTGTAGAACAGGTGGAAACTGTAGTAGGATAGATAACACCTCCAGGAGAGAAGCTTGTAACCATGACCCAGAGAGGCCTGTAAAACTGATTGTATGGGAAGTAAGGCTGAACAATAAAGGGAAATACTATAGGGTCCATTAAGAAATAAGAAACTATTAAGAATTAAGAAACTATTGAGATGTTTCTGGGTTTTTTATATAAAATACATTTTGATAATATACTTGCCACTCCTTCAAATCCTCCAAAATTCTCTCTATTGAAAGGTTCTAATTGTGGGTTTCAAGGTCAGATTCACATTCTAAAATTCCACAACCGAGACAGTGAAAAAAGGTTGATAAATGGGAATGTGTTAAGGAAACTAGTATGTTGGGTTTCAGAGTTCTGGACTAATGAAATCACACTTCAGGGAAAGGGAAGTGCCTGGATTTAAGAATTGTGTAAGCTAGCTTTAGTGTCTCTTCAATCTTATCTGTTCTTTTGAGAGTTATCTCTATTCTGGAACCTGCTGCTCAATGTTGACTGTGCCCCGTCTTTACTGGAGAGAGTGTTTAATCAGTACCATGAAGTTTTCTCAACATACTTAGATGGATCACACCCCCAGTGTTGCTACTATAGGTGTCATTCGTTAGTGTCTATACTAATCCCGAAATTACACACACGTTGAGGTTATTCTACCTTTTATTGGTCCACAGTTGAAATGCCAAAATGTCAAAAGTGATCTTAAAACCCAAGTCTCTTCACAGGTTAATTTGACTTTAGAGTGGGACCTGAAATGATGTGAAATCTTAATATGGATACTTAAGCAAATTACCACAGAAATAGTAATACCTTGCCAAGACATGATGTCTTCTGTGTCACTCTGACACTGTGCTGCTAATCAGGATCATAGTCCCCAATCTATATCTACCCTTATGGCTGTGATACTATAAAATCAATGACCATGTTAGCATTTTTAACAAGTAGTAATGCATCAGCTGTTTCCACCAGTTGTGTTGTACAGCCTCAATGCGGCATCCTTTAGAACTCCATGAGGACAGCAGCTGCTGTGTGTACAGTCCACAGAGATAGTGCTGCCAATTAACAAAATTTATATATGCAATTTCAAAGACCTCTTTAACCTTAGCACTGATATTTCAAAGCAATGGTTTATTCAATTAAAAGGAACCATTTAAAAACAGATAATATTTTTTTACAGTATCTTAGCAAAAGGTGATTGAAACCATGCCTAGAAGGAAAGACTTGAGATTTTGCCAGAAGGGCCACATACTAGTGTTATCTCCCTTTTTAACAAATGGAATAAATCTAAATATTGTTTTGGACAAGTTGTGCTGCATTACATCATAATGTGAAATCCTGACAACAGAACTGCAATCAGGAGAACACTCAGAAGGTAAAGGTGGGGTCCAACAGATCCTTGCAACATTTCACAGGGAAAGTAAAAGGCATGTGCATCCCCATCCCTCAGCTGCAACTCTAGTGCCTGGGATAAACTTATTGTCACAATATAGGTAGTTCAGAGCTCAGCTGTCTAGCTGAGACCTCTGAGGCAGAGAGTTCTGTCCTTGCTTTCCATCAGTCATTTGAGAATTCTTCATTGCAGAAAGTTGTATCTCTGGATTACATGAAGAAAATATTTATTTCATTTTAGATATTAAATAGTAGGTAGAATCAGTTTGGATTCTTACAATTGTTCTGTGAACCCTGGTTTAAATCCCTCTAGCTTAATATCTAGAATACACAAAGAATTAACAAAGAAAACAAACAACCCAATTAAGTGCTGCTACCAAGTATTGAAAAGAGTTCCATTAAAAAAAAGAAGAAATACAAATAACTAAGAAAGCTGTTTTTAATAGTCTGCGTCCTTAACCACCAGGGAAGTAAAAATTACTCTGAAATTTATGTTATCCACTTCAAAATGGCTAATATAAAAATATATAATGACAACAAATGCTGGCATGGATGGAGGAAAAGAATAACATTTATTGCTGGTAAGGATACAAGTTAAAATAGTCAGTATGGAAATCTGTGTGTAGATTGCACAAAAAACTAGAAATACAGTGTCCATGTTATTCAGTTATAGAATCCCTGGGCCTGTGTCCAAAGGACCCTGTGTCCTACTGTAGAGAGAACTGCGTATCCATGTTCATTGCCATCCTTCCAATAGCCAGGAAATGGAAATAGCTTAGATGTGCATTACCAATGAATGGATAATGAATATTTACTACTCATAAAGAATGGTATGTTATTCATCTGTAAAGAAAAATGAAATTTGCAAGTAAGTGGATGGAGATAGAAATAATTACTTGAACAATAATGCAAATCCAAAATGACAAACAACACATGTTTTTTTTCAGATGCACATGCTAACATTGGCTACTTAGATGTGTGTGTTTACAATGGAGTACCCATAGAAGCCAAAAAACTCAGGGACTGCAAGATAATTTCAACAGAAGAGAATAGAATGCAGGTGGTATGGATGTAGAAAGGGGGTAATGGCACAGCAAGAATTTAAATGGGTTGGGGAACTAGGAGTTAAGGTAGACTAGGGAGTAAAAAGAGGGATAGTTAATAAAGACATTTGAAAATGCCATATAGAAACATGGCATAGAAGCTTCACAAATGCACACATACACATAAATAAAATAAAAAAAACAGAATTTGAGTAGACTGTATTTGAGAGGGGAGTTAGAAAGAAAAGGATGGATGGATGGAGGGAGGGAGGGAGGGAGGGAGGGAGGCAGGGAGGCAGGGAGGCAGGGAAGGAAAGAAAGTCCAGTGTCAGATATGGGTTACCTCTTTTTGGAGTTGTTGGTAAGTGTAGTTCTGTAGGTTCCTGTCCTTAAACATTAAAACTGCTGCTAGTACTTTTGGTTATCCTCCAGAATTTGATGGAAGGACTCTGATGCCTAAGATAACACAAATTTAAGTCACAGAACATGGATAAACAAGCTGATACAGACTAGGGAACTTCATCGACACTAGTTAGTTTCTATAGCACTGGAAGGTGCTATGATATTACTCAGAGAGAAAGGTAATCATCTTCTCCCCCAACAATAACCTGCAATAAAGACCTGTCTGGCAAGATATGCCTCCCAATGCAACAGTGGCATGAATTTTATTGGACATTACAAGGTTAAACAATGCTAATTATGTTTCTGATTAAAGTTCACTCTCAAACATGGAACTCATGCCTAGTACCATCGGTAGGCTGGATCATAAGGGTGAACTTAATACTGTTACTCAGTTAAATGTACATTATAATAAATGGATCATTTGAGTTTTTATCTTTATAGTCACATATTATTGAATCACTCTACTGTCATTAGAGAAGCTTTTTTTTTCATACATGGTGGTTAATACAAAAATCCATAGCTGGTCAACATGCAGAGACCAAGAAACCCAAAGAGTACTTGACCCTAAACAGAACATCTGTATCACATCTTTCTCTGAAATCTGAGGCTTAAGGATCATCTCACAAAAGGGGTCAAAATGAATATACGAGATAGTAGCTGCCTGCCGCAAAATAGTTAGCTAGATGTGACAGGGCCATCACATATGTGAACTCACAATGACTGTGATTATATGCAGAACACCTGAACAACATCAAGACAGAAAATTCCTAGGATGGACAGGGGAAAGTTTCGATCATGAAGATTCATGCCTAACTGTGGAGCTTTTTAGCAATGGATAGTTGCCGGGAGGGGAGAGTCAGGTTTCTTCAGGAATATATCCCTTAAAGATTACAAGAGCTCCTGAAGATGACCTTACCCTCGTGAGCATACAGGCATCACTGAGAGGACATAGTTTTTTTTTCAGAGCAAAAGAAGTCACTAGGGAAAGTATGTGGGGTGATACACTGGATTGGAGGGAATGGAGAATGGGAAGTGTCTTTAATCAAAACATTATACAAATGTAAATAATTCCCAGACAATAAAGAAGCTGCTTACATAAAAGTTAAAATAAAATAAATCAGCCTTTTCCATTGGTCATGGGACACTCACGGTGTAAGTTGTGAATTCATACAAGGAAAGAGGGGATAACAGTTTCAGGGTATAAAGTGTGTTAGAGAAGGCTAATCAGACTTACTTTAAAAAAAAACATTTCCACCCTAAGGTATTTTTATGAAGGTTGTGGAAGAAGAGAAAATAATAATTAAAATTTTAAATTATCAATGAAAAATTCTTTATAATCTCTCAAAAACATCTTCAGTCAATACCAACTGTCAAATCTACATTTCCTATATATCCCTCATATATGAAACAACTTCATAGATTCCCTGAATGAGTGAGGTTACACACATTGACTATCTATGATAACATGGTTATATATCTGTGGCCAGCATATTGTAGTAATTATTACTATAAGTATTGGATAGTAATTGTAATCTCATAAGATCTTTAACACCATCCTTGACTCAATTAAGCTATACCCAAAGAGACCACCCAGTAAAACAGCAAAAAACTTAAAATGTGTCTTGGATTTGTTTCTCTCCTTGATCAGAGGCTATCTAGATCTTTTATTTTTAGTTGGTTAGCCAACAAATATTTACCATTTTTCAGAGTTCTAATTTCTGTTAGACATTAGGCTAGGCACTAAAGAAACAAAAGTAAATAGTATGATCTCTGTCTTCAAGAGCTGTGAAAGCCAGGAGAAGAAAGAATGTATAACCAAGACAGTGCATGAAGACAGACAGTGCATAATATTATGGGAACATGGAGGAGGTCCATCTTGTCTTATAGGTAAAGATGATGTTCAAGCATGTCTCCTCAAAGACTGAGGCAAAAGAAGCCACAGAGAACCAATGCAAAGGTTAGCTGGGTGTCAGAAGAAAGACAAGTTCAAAGATAAGAGAATTTGTTATCAGTATGACCACAGTGTCATATGAGGTATGAATGGCTTTTTTTCACCCTATAACTGAGAGAGAATAAGAACCACTTGTTCTTGGCATGGATTGAGTGAATGAAGGAAGAATATTTACCTTTCATTGTCTTCTGTTTGCTGTCCCCATTGACAGAAACCTGTGTATTTCTTATGTCCATAACCCCAAATCCCGGGTCTAATCTGTCTCTCTCTGACCATGGGAATGGTTACTTAAAGTATTCTTTGAGGTTCTGTGAAGGTGAACACTGAAGCAGCTGTCATCATTGTGGGACTAACTCAATCTCATCCTCAGACTTTTAGTCTATAAAGAACAAATGTCTTAGATCAAGACTGAGAGACAGGTGCAACCCTGCGGATGGAGAATAGAACAGGGCCTGCACTGCGTCTGGAGGGGAAGTGACCCATTCAAACCTTGTAAAGAACAACTGCCCTTACTATCTCTTGAGGGATAAGAGAACACTTTCCCAAAGGAAACCTCATTCCTTACAAAGGTTGAGCCTGACAGGACTTGAGGCTCAATCAGTGAACATAGAGATAGGGGAAGAAGTTAATTGTTAAGCAAAGGATATGAGCAAGCAGTAGCTGGAGTTGCTCCCTCTCTCAGACCTGCAGAGGTGCCCTGCATCCAAAGCACGAGCATTCTCTGTGCGAATCCAGATTATTCCTCCCTCATTCTCTTACCTGTTCTCATACACAGGAACCTGCCCCTCCATGTTGATTCGTGTTTCCTCAACAGGTGCCCTTGTACATTTCAAGAGAACAGACTAAAGAGATATCATTAAAGTGTTCATATCTCACAATGATGGACCCACAGAAGAAGAACAAGAAGAAGAAGAAGAAGAAGAAGAAGAAGAAGAAGAAGAAGAAGAAGAAGAAGAAGAAGAAGAAGAAGAAGAACAAGAACAAGAACAAGAACAAGAAGAAGAAGAAGAAGAACAAGAAGAAGAAGAACAAGAACAAGAACAAGAACAAGAACAAGAAGAACAAGAAGAACAAGAACAAGAAGAACAAGAACAAGAAGAACAAGAACAAGAAGAACAAGAACAAGAAGAACAAGAACAAGAACAAGAAGAACAAGAACAAGAACAAGAAGAAAGAAGAAGAGGAATAGGAAGAACAAGAAGAAGAAGAAGAAGGAGGAGGAAGAGGAGGAGGAGGAGGAGGAGGAGAAGAAATATAGATTGGTAGCCAGTACCCAGCAGGAATTATCTAATTGGAACATGTTGAAGAAATGAATCTGGGAGGCAGGGACTATAAGGGAGAGACAGTGCAGCCAGGTAATGGTGAGCCACAAAACACATTTTGGAAGTGTCACAATGTTTCTAACATGTTATATATTGACTAAAACATATAACAAAATAAAGTGTGGTGTGTGCGTGTGTGTGTGTGTGCCTGTGTATGTGTGTGTTCCTGCCACTTATTTTGTGAAGAGTACAAGGCCATATGTGTTAGAGTAAATTTAATATTCTAAATAATATTTTAAGGGATTACATAGACAACCCATGCTGAACTGTACATGAGAAAGGTTAGATTCAGAATTTAGGAGTGTAGTATCATTTTATAAATACTGTTAGTCTCTCTTTGCTCAATCATTTGTCTATTTTCTTCTCAAAAATAACTGCTGTCATACAGAAGTAGATTGCCATAAACAAAAATATAATGATTGAGTGATAAGTTATAAAAGAAAGAACCATGCGTAAAAGGGCAACACAGAGATGGGAAAATTATTTTCCTAAGGGAAAGACAATGTTCCTTGCAGCAGACAGGGGGTGCCATGTCGTTTAAGCCTTGGGAACAAAAGCTCAATGGCTCCAAAACAAAATTATGGAGAAAAGTATTCCATCGCTGAGGCCTGATAGACAAGCAAAAGAGAGAGTAACCATGTTCTATGCAGGAACTGGCTGAGAGGCTCAGGTCAACAAAATAGGGTCTCAGTCCACATCTGAGAGCAGATTGGTGGCAGGATGGCAGTGCGGAGAAACTTTCTTCTGCCACCTTCCATACACATTGACACGTGCCCTTTCCCCTTCCCCCTCCACAACTCTCCCACTACTAAACACCATTCTACGGAATCAAAAAGCTTAGGCTTAGTAGGTTCGTCCAAAAAGAAAGGATGTAGTCTTTGACCATAGAACACCATTCTCCCCAATACCACACCCAGACAGCCATCTGTTGGAGGACTCTTTCTCACCCCAGCTCACCTTGGGGTCAGCCCACCATAAATGTGCTTAGAGTTACAGCACAGCCGGCAGTAGATAACTCCCCCTTCGCCTTTGATCTACAGGCATGGTGACTGTCAGGCTGTACATTTCTACAAGTGATGAAAACACTAACAATATCCCAGCCCCAAACCTTAACCCTGAACCACGAAGTTGATAATATTCTCCAGAGAGGTCCAGGGTAGCCTGGAGCCTCAGTTCTTTGCTATTGTTTCAGGCAAGACTTACAGGCAGTATGTCTGGGTCTTGCCACTCTGGTCATGCTGGGAATTTTTACTCTTTGTGGGGGGAAATGCCACATTCAAATAAAAGCTGTTCTAAACACAGGGTCTGAAAAGTTAGAGAATGTTTGTTATTAAAATTAGGCTGCCAGGCCCACCCAGAGCAACAGATGATCTGCCCCTAAGGAGGGAAGGAAACTTTGGAAGATGTCTCCAGGCCTTGGCACAGCACAAGTTTTGTGGGCCTTGGTGACATATAGGTGCTTTGTACTGTAGCACATTTGTTATGCTGTTTAAACATGCATGTGCTAGATACATAACACTAATATCTGGAACAAAAGGTAATCCTATATGCCTTGCAATGAAAAACACGAGCAGGGGGCTACTTGTTGCCAGAGTTCTGCCATTCTTGCTTAATTCTGTCTTTTAGTTATGTGATATGTCTGAAGGCATACTTGGTTAAAACTGCATGGAGAAAATGAGTTGCAAGCATATGCACTCTGTCTTTGAGAATCAGGATACCCATTAAGCATAGTTCCAATTAAAATTCAAAGAAACAACAAGGGGGGAGTTACAGCTCTATCA